CAAAAATAGTCAAATACCTTGGAATCAACTGAACCAAGGATGTTAAAGATCTCTACGATGAGAATTACAAAACCTTAAAGAAAAAAATAGAAGATGATACCAAGAAATGGAAAAATCTTCCATGCTCATGGATTGGAAGAATCAATATCATCAAAATGTCCATTCTCCCAAAAGCAATTTACAGATTCAATGCAATACCAATCAAGATACCGAAGACCTTCCTCTCAGATCTGGAAAAAAATGATGCCGAAATTCATATGGAGACACAGGAGACCTCGAATAGCTAAAGCAATCTTGTACAACAAAAACAAAGCCGGAGGCATCACAATACTAGATTTCAGGATATACTACTGGGCAGTTGTTCTCAAAACAGCATGGTACTGGTACAGAAACAGATGGATAGACCAATGGAACAGAATTGAAACACCAGAAATTAATCCAAACATCTACAGCCAACTCATATTTGATCAAGGATCCAAAACCAATCCCTGGAGTAAGGACAGTCTATTCAATAAATGGTGCTGGGAAAATTGGATTTCCACATGCAGAATCATGAAGCAAGACCCCTACCTTTCCCCTTACACAAAAATTCACTCAACATGGATTAAAGATTTAAATCTATGACCCGACACCATCAAATTATTAGAGAGCATTGGAAAAACCCTGCAAGATATAGGTGCCGGCAACGACTTTTTGGAAAACACCCCAGAAGCACAGGCAGTCAAATCCAAAATTAACATTTGGGATTGCATCAAATTGAGAAGTTTCTGTACTTCAAAAGAAACAGTCAGGAAAGTGAAGAGTCAATCGACAGAATGGGAAAAAATATTTGTAAGCTATGCAACAGATAAAGGGTTGATAACCAGAATCCACAAAGAAATCAAGAAACTCCACAACATCAAAACAACCCACTTAAGAGATGGACCAAGGACCTCAATAGACATTTTTCAAAAGAGGAAATCCAAATGGCCAACAGACACATGAAAAAATGTTCAAGATCACTAGCAATCAGGGAAATGCAAATCAAAACCACAATGAGGGTTCACCTCACCCCGGTGAGATTGGCTCCCATTCAGAAATCTACCAACAACAGATGCTGGAGAGGATGTGGGGAACAAGGGACGCTAACCCACTGTTGATGGGAATGCAAACTGGTTAAGTCACTATGGAAGTCAGCCTGGAGATTGCTCAGAAACCTGAATATAACCCTACCATTCAACCCAGCCATCCCACTCCTTGGAATTTATCAAAAGGAAATTAAATTGGCAAACAAACAAGCTGTCAGACACAGGCTCAGAAAACTTAGGTAGTTTGACCCAGATTGTACAGTGAGTGAACAGCTGAGGTGGGATCCAGGGGTCTGGCTCGGGAGCTTGCCCTCCTATTAATCACTACTGACTACCATTCACTTTACATCTGTTCATGCTAGCTTCTCAAAGAAACAACTTCAACAGAATTGACTTAACATTTAACTTTCTGTTAAAAACTGGCCGTGTGAAAAATTAAATGTAAAGCTATGTAAAGTCTTTAATAAAAGTGATTTTTAATTTTAAATGTAAAGCTATGTAAAGTCTTTAATATAATTGATTTTTAAGGATATATTTATTTATATATTTGAAAGGCAGAGAGATCTTTTATACACAGGATCACTCCCCAAATGGCGACAATAGCTGGGGCTGGGCCAAGCTGAAGCCAGGAGCCCAGAACTTCTTCCTAGTCTCCCACCCGGGTGAAAGGGAACCAAGCTCTGGACCATCATCTGCTGCTTTCCCAGGCAGTAAGCACATATGCAAGGAGCTTAATTGGAAGCAGAGCAGGACTTGAACGAGCACTCTAATATGGGATGCTGGCATGGCAAGTGATAGCCATGGTTCACCCTCCAATGGCCGCCGTGGCCGGTGCGCTGCGGCCGGCGCACCATGCTGATCCGATGGCAGGAGCCAGGAGCCAGGTGCTTTTCCTGGTCTCACTCCATTTTGGGTTTTAGTTTTAGTTTTTATTTTTGCCTCAGAGTTTAAATGACGCGTTTATCAGGAACAGCTAACTTTTCATAGCTTTTCTACACCCCGTCAATCTTCTTGTTCCTACACTCAGCTAGGAACTTGACAATTAGATGTGAGGCAGATGTGTCCCATGCTTTCATCAAGCTGAAAATTCAATGTGGTAGGCATACAACTACTTCTAGAAAGGAAAAGTACTGCATGCTCTGAGAATATATTACTACTGCAGGACAGAACCTTGTCAACGAGGCTAGGATATCCTTAGGGTAGTGATATGTATGCTGAGCTATAAAGCATGAGAGGGAATCCTACTTCCTAGAGTGATTTCTATTTAAGAAGAAGAAAATGTAGAAGATGCCAAGGAGCGAAGGTTGGCTCCTGTATAAAATTTAGTTAATTTGCCGAGGGGAACTGATAGAACACATTCTATTGGCACCTGCCTATGATACCAGCTAGAATAGAAAGAAGGCAGAGGGGCGGGTGCCGCGGCTCACTACCTAATCCTCCGCCTGCGGCGCCGGCACACCAGGTTCTAGTCCCGGTTGGGGCACCGGTTTTGTCCCAGTTGCTCCTCTTCCAGTCCAGCTTTCTGCTGTGGCCCAGGAAGGCAGTGGAAGATGGCCCAAGAGCTTGGGCCCTGCACCTGCATGGGAGACCAGGAGGAAGCACCTGGCTCCCGGCTTTGGATCAGCACAGCGCACCAGCCATAGCAGCCACTGTGGGGTCAACCAACAGAAGGAAGACCTTTCTCTCTGTCTCTCTCTCCTTCTCACTGTCTAACTCTGCCTGTCAAAAAATAAAAATAAAAAGGAAGAAGCTAGAGGTACCTAGCTTACTTAGTAGAGTGCTTTAAGTGGGCAGGGATAGTGCGGTAGTTCTCAATTTTAACATAAAAACCCACCCAGGGAGTTATTTCAAAGAAACAGAAGTGAGAGGGCTGGCGCCGCGGCTCAATAGGCTAATTCTCCGCCTGCAGTGCCGGCACACAGGGTTCTAGTCCTGGTCGGGGCACCGGATTCTGTCCCGGTTAGCCCTCTTCCAGGCCAGCTCTCTGCTGTGGCCCGGGAAGGCAGTGGAGGATGCCCCAAGTGCCTGGGCCGTGTACCCGCATGGGAGACCAGGGGAGGCACCTGGCTCTGGCTTTGGATCAGCACGGTGTGCAGGCCACGGCGGCCATTGGAAGGTGAACCAAAGGCAAAGGAAGACCTGTCTCTCTGTCTCTCTCTCTCACTGTCCAGTCTTCCTGTCAAAAGAAAACAAAAAGTGAGAGAAAAAAGAACCTGTTTGATTTAGTGAAAAAGAAATTTGCAAACTAAAGGAAACCATTATAAGAAGGTGATCACATTGATTTCCTTAGTATCTAAAAATGCCTACAAAAGACCGAATACTTAAAATTTTATTCCTAATTCTATGAATGGAGAAGTATTGTAATTCTGATGAAACCTGGAACTCTCAAATATTAAATCACCTGGGGTGAAAACCAGAACAAGCAGAGTACAGAGGAAAAAAAAAATCTTCCTTGGAATTTTACCTTTGCTGCCAATTAAAGTTCCTAACAATTACTAGATTAAGAAACCAGAAGACAATTAGCACTGTTAGTTTAAATATTCAAACAATTCATTTTATGTTGTATTAAAAATATAGATATTTTCCTGGTTTTCTTTCTTTTATTTTTTTACTACCATGCTTTTCCTATTTTAAGTCCTTTGCCAAATTTGAAAAATAAAAATGAGTTGGTGGCAAGAGATTTCCTAACATAAAATGGTTTTTCAATGATTTATAGAGAATTATCAAGCAATGTATGAAGTGTTTTGTATATATGATCATCTGATTTAATTTACCATGATTACCTGTTGACCCCTTCTGTGAGGTTTATACATCTCTGTCACCAGTGAAGAGGCATGTGCACAAAGAAATCAGGTAACTCTGTGCCAGGGGTCACACAATGAAGGGTGTCATAGTCAATTAAATAGATGCTAGACCACTTGGAGGTCATTCTATTGCCCTAACAGAGTGTATCTATGGATCTCTGTGGCAAGGTATAGAGGACAAAGGGAAAAACAACAGCAATCTTGAGATTTGTTAGTTTAAGTGGTGTCTTTTTCTCAAATGAGAGCAAGGCTGAGCTGTATATGCCTGGGAAAATACATTGAAAAGCTAAGTGTGTCAATTCTAATAACCAGTGGTTCTTAATTGGCATATGAAAATATATATATACCAGAGATCCTAAACTTCCACGCGCATCAGAATTTCCTACAGATCTGGTTAAAACACAAATGGCTCACCCGCCCTACCTTCTGATTCAGAAGGTAGAAACTGAGAATTTCCATTTCTAACAAGTATTCAGCTTATGTTATTGGGCCCAGAACCACTGCCCTATACTTCATAAGTTAACTCTCTTAAAATAGCTATAGTAAATACAAACACAAATTTCCTAGGGAACAGAATCTAAACACTAGAGCTTCTTGAGAGAGATGTGCAATTTTCAAAAAAGCATTTTATTAATTTTTTCCTTTAGTATATTTTATGACATTTGACACAAAGAAAAAAATATATAAGATATATAAATTGTAAAAACCACATAATTCTCACATCTAATTCTTATGGTAACTGTCTTCAGACATAATAGATTTCCTTCAATAGTAAATTATATTTGCTTTTGTAATCATCCAATATTCTTATGATGAGATTTCTAAAGAATACATATATTTTCTTAATTAACACAGACAATAAAACAAGTTAAATTTTAAATCCCTTTTTTCTTCATTGCTTATTTTTACTTGTGAATAAACTGTATTAATACCAAAGATTAATCTAACAGAAGGTGTGAAGTTTGGGAAGAAAAATAATCAAATTTTCCCAAAATATACTGTAAACCTATGAATGAGTGAAAGAACACGAAGTATTTTATCTTAAATTTACTGATTTTAGTTCTTGTATTATTCATGCCATTTGAGTAATTATATACAATGAATATTGGCAACAAAGTAAAAATCTTACCCAGATCTAGTCGTTTTGAATTCCACCTTGAGGATAGGTTTGCATGGTTCTGGCTTCTTCCCATCCTTTAACTGTTTTCCTAAAATATATTTTCCTGCATTAAATTCTAAAATTCTAAGTTTCTCTAAATTCTTACATTGATAGTTTATAAAATGAAAGTGAAATATGAAATCTATCATGAAATATTTTAAGTGATTTTGAATTCAAAATGAGAATTTTTAAATGAGCAAGCAAAATTATTTAAAATACAATGCTGAAAAGCAAGGAAAATTAATAACTTAGCAATATTTATACAAAGTTCTAGTAAGAGAAACTGACAGTCACCCCAATGTTCTTAATAAAACATAAGCAAAATAGAATTTCAATTTGTTAAATGAAAGCAAAGTTTGATTTTAAAGAACTAAATCTGCATCACATTTTCAATTAGACCCTATATTAATATTTATACTCAAATAAATTGTAGTATCCAAAAGACTTCTAAAATACACCAACCCCTATAAGATGTCTGATTTATTTTTTAAAATGTTTCTTAATTTGTTACCTATTTCTAGATGTTCATTGTAGAAACTTTAAAAACTAAAAAGTACATAAAAAAACACAACTATTTCCCATGTTTTAAGAGATCAAAACATTGTCAAGATTATTAAAATTTTCTGACAAATTATCAAATTTGGGGATAGTCTTGAGGGGATCCCTGACATAAGCCTTACCCTAACGCCTCTTATTCTCTTTCATGGCTTTATTTTTTCTCCATACCATTTATTGCATTCTTCATTTTGTTATTTGTCTGACAACAATGTAAATTCCAGGAAAGCAAAGGTTTTAATGTCTGTGTTTTCAGTCATATCCCTCTTGGCAAAAACTGCTTGGTGTTATAGCAGGTATGCAATTTAATGAATTAAAAAATTAATGATTGTTTCCTTAGGATAAAATTCCTAGACATAAGATATCTGGGTAAAGCTATATTCCAGAAAAGTTTTGCCTATATATCAGAAAGACATAACAGTTACAAATATAAACAAACTAATACAGAGCAACAGAATGCATGAAACAAAAATGAGAAAATTAAAGGAAAAACCAATAGAGATCTCAATACTTCAATTTCAACAGTAGATAGAACAACTGAATGGAAGATCAATAAGAACATAGAAGACAATAGTGTAAGCTAATCAGTCCAGATATTTGGAGACTAAAACTCCTCTCAAGAACTGAATATTCATTTTTCTTAAGTGCACACATTTTTAGGATGCTTTGCTCTATAATAAAAATTCACTAAATTTAAGGGGCAAGAATATACAAAGATCTCAACCACAATAAAACAAAATTAGAAATCAGTAGCAAGAAAAAATGGAGAAACTCAAAACATGTGAAAATTAAATGACTTACTACTAAATAACCAATAAGCTAAAGACCAATTCAAAAGAAAACTCAGGGGCCAGCATCATACTACAGTGGGTTAAACTATCACGTTCAATGCTGGCATCTCATATAGCACCAGTTTGAGTCCTGGCTGCTCCACTTCCAATCCAGTCCCCTGCAAATGCATCTGGGAAAGCAGCAAAAGAAGGGACAAGTACTTGGGCACATATCACTCATGTAGGAGACCTGGATGGAGTTCCAGGCTCTTGGTTTCAGCTTCGCCCAACTGTAGCCATTCTGATAGTGAATATGCAGACAGGAGATCTCTGTCTTCCTCTGTCTGTAATTCTGCCTTTCAAATAAATAAATCTTTTTTTTTTTTAAGATTTTATTTATTTCTTTGAGAGGTAGAGTTAGAGAAAGAGAGAGGGAGAGACAAAGAGAAAGGTCTTTCATCTGCTGGTTCATTCCCCAAATGCTGCAACAGCTAGAGCTGGGCCAATTCAAAGCCAGGAGCCTGGAGTTTCTTACAGGTCTCCCACAGGGGTGCACACATCCAAGCTTTTGGGCCAACTTCCAATGCTTTTCCAGGCCATAACAGAGTGGGATCAGAAGAGGAGCAGCCGGAACTAGAATTGGCTCCCATACGGGATGCCAGAGATGCAGGCAGATGCTCAGTCTACTGCACCACAGTGCTGGCCCCCCAAATAAACAAAGCTTTAAAAAAAAAAAAAAAAAAAAAAAAAAAAAAAAAAAAAAAAAAAAAAAAAACAGAAACCACACTAGCATTAAAGAAAAGAAACAAAAACTCAGAAGGCGTTTTGAAAAGAAACAATAGGGGGCCAGTGCTGTGGCACAGCGGGTTAACACCCTGGCCTGAAACGCTGGCATCCCATATGGGCACTTGTTCTACTCCTGGCTGCTCCTCTTCTGATCCAGCTCTCTGATGTGGCCTGGGATAGTGGTAGAAGACAGCCCAAGTCCTTGGGCCCCTGCACCCACGTGGGAGACCTGGAAGAAGCTCCCGGTTACTGGCTTCGGAACGGCACAGCTCTGGCCGTTGGCGGCCAATTGGGGAGTGAACTATCAGATGGAAGACTTCTCTCTGCCTCTCCTCTCTCTGTGTGTAATTCTGACTTTCAAATAAATAAATAAATCTTAAAAAAAAAAAAAAACAATAAAAATTGACCCTAACCCTAATCCTACCTCTAAACCCTAATCCTAACCCTAACTCTAACCTTTATCTAGATTGATCCCCCCATCACAGGACTTGGAAATGTTACAGAGAATAGTATAAGGTACTTCAAAAAGTTCATGGAAAAGTGAATTAAAAGTTTATATTGATGGGGCTGGCAAAGTGGCATAGCGGGTAAAGCCGCTGCCTGCAGTGCCAGCATCCCACATAGGTGCTGGTGCTAGTCCTGGCTGCTCCACTTCAGATCCAACTCTCTGCTATGGCCTGGGAAAGCAGTAGAAGATGGCCTAAGTCCATCTTAGGGAGATCCAGAAGAAGCTCCTGGCTCCTGGCTCTGGATCGGCTATACTCCAGTTGTTACAGTCATCTGGGGAGTGAAACAGTAGATGGAAGACCTCTCTCTCTGTCTCTGCATCTGCCTCTCTATAACTGTGACTTTCAAATAAATAAATCTTAAAAAAAATCAGTTCATATTGATGCAAGATAATTTTGAAATCCAAGCATAGTTTTTGCATAATGTACATTTTCAATGCTCTTTGAAAACTCCTCATATGCATAGATCCTACAAAATTAAATAAAGAATTATAAAGAAATACAATAAACAACTGTATGTAAACAATTTAGATACCTCAGATGAAACAATTCTTCGAAAGATATAATTAATCAAACTGACTCAAGAAGAAATAGACATTCTAAATGGACTTATAACAAGTGAGCATAAGGAAGAATTAATTTAAAAGGAAAAAAAAAACTACTCACAAAGAAAAGCTCAGACTCAGATGTGTACACTGCTGAATTAGGAAGGATAGAATTTGGGAAGCAGTTTGTGGACATTTATTAAAAACAGCAGCAAAGACAACTCTTCAGTTTTTAGAAGTAATGATTCCACTCCTAAGCATTTATGCCATGGGGAAAAAAGGACAACTTCTAACGAATGTACCTAATGATGATAACTATAGCATAATTTGTAGAGATTGAGAACTGAAGACAAAGTGAATGCACATTAATTTGAAACAGCTAAATAAACTGATATAATTAATTAGTGTACAGCCATAAAAATGAAAGAAAAAGAGCTATATCAGACTTAGAGCAATTTTCTAAAGTACAGTGGATTAAGAAAAGTAAGATGCTATTAAGACTAACACAATCCTAATTTTTGGAAAACAATGACCAGGAAAAACATTTTACATTTAGATTATGTGTGTATATTAATGTTTTTAGAAATATTTTTTACACAACTTACCTGGTGAAGCAGGAAAGGGATTGGGCTTATAATGTAGGGCAAGGATGAGGGGGTAGGGATTGCTATGATATCATCCCATTTATGTTTTACAATACAAGCACTATATGAAAAAACTACTAGTATTTTTTATTGTCATTCTTCTCACTGGTTTTATGCTTTAAGAGCTCTTCTCCACACCAAAAAACATAATTTTTTTTCACTTTCTTACACTAGCTTATAGTTTCATTTATTACACTTAATTATTTTTAATACATATTTTGGTATTTGGAAGGTAGTTTTCCCCTAATTATCAATCATCTCAGTGCTATTTTATAGTTTATTGAGTTATAATGGCCAAACAATAAACTGTATATAATTTAAGTGTATAATTTAATGTTTTTAATTTTTTTTTGACAGGTAGAATTAGATAGTGAGAGAGACAGAGAAAAAGGTCTTCATTCTGTTGGTTCACTCCCCAAATGGCCGCTATGGCCGACGCTGCACCAATCCAAAGCCAGGAGCCAGGATCTTCCTCCTGGTCTCCCATGCGGGTACAGGGCCCAAGGACCTGGGCCATCCTCTACTGCCCTCCCAGGCCACAGCAGAGAGCTGGACTGGAAGAGGAGTATCCGGGACTAGAACCTGGTGCCCATATGGGATGCAGGCGCCCCATGGCGCCGGCCCCTAATTTAATGTTTTAACATATGAATGTACATGCTAGCATTATTCACTGAACCATGATTCTTTCCTCACTGATACGAAATATCATCTTTATCATATTAAATGCTTATAAATATATTTATAAATCAGTAATGGGGCATCTAATCCTTTCTTAATGTAAAATCCTAGTGGATCACGTCTTTCCCCACCTTATAAAGAAATGTAGGTGCAGTTCAATCTTGAATCTCAGGCACCCCAATCTAAAAGAACCAGGAAGTGATTAGTGATAGAGGTAGCCAGAACACCAGAACAAATATCTGGAAAAGACTGGGGGTGAGAGAGGGGTGAAGAGAGGACTAAATTGTTGAGGTAGGAGAGAGAATTGAGAAGGAAAAAAGAGAGATAGAGACAAATGTGGAAAAAGAGGCTTAAATCTGAAAAGTAATCCTTTGCTGTCCAAGGAACATATTAAGAATCTCAACCTCTATTGTGACCTGTTTAGTAAAGAATTTAAATATTCTCCCTGAAGGAGGCCTTTCTCTTTCTTCTACCATGCAAAGTTCTAATGAAAGTGTCAAACTAACAAAACTTGAGATCACAAACTCAAATTTTACATTTATTTTCAAAACTTTCTGTTATATAT